TTTTGGAATAAAATAATATTTTACTTTCTAGATATAGTGAGAAAACAGGTAGGAGGAAATTGAATGTTGTTAGAATATTTAAAATATGCAAAATATGCAGAAGTCCCACAAGCTTCAGTAGGTTTAAAGTTCCTTTGGGGGTAGATGTGATAGTTATTATATCGATGCAAGGCTGTTCACTGTAGAGTGTGTTAAACAAAATACACACCCAAGGGATATGGATTATAACCATTCTTACTCTACTTTTGCGAAGCAAGTCAATTCGAGAGTCAGGTTTGAAGTCCACTGTCAGCTTTTTTTTACCAAGCTGATTTAAGTGAAGTCCTATCCAGAAGCAGTAGAATAAATTACATGTCTTCTTAGAGTAACATTTAGTTATGTTTCTCAGCCATGCCTGGGGGCACCAGGGCATTTCTGACAGGGTGGCAAAGGCAGTATGGCTTTTGGGAAGAGTGTCATTGCTAGTCATCCTGATCATACCTTCCAGCTATGTATTCCCACTGCTTTTCCCACCTGAACTTCCCTTAACCCTGATCTACAAAAATAAATAAATAATAAATCGGAAAATTAATTCATTATAATCAATATAGTCTCACTTCACAACTTCATCACCACTTTCCTTATATGATCCTTCCACCATTTCCTACCTGGGAAAAACACAAAATATAAAATCAATCAAATAAACAAAAAACTCCCCTCCCCAATGCAGAATTTCTGATTTTTCATCACTTTCTTTTTAGAAAAAGTACTACCTGCTAACAACTGGTGAAAGAGGATATTCAGAAGTCCTGTGGTGTTTTGTCCTGTATAGCTTTTTGTATAGTATTATTTGAGGCCAAGAGTTGCTATATGACAAAGTACTTATTATGTATTGTATGTTAATGTAGAATGCAGATGTATATTGCAGTTTTTGAAAGTGATGATTACTGTGAAATGCTGAAAATACATTGTTTAATTTCTAAAAACTGTGATGTCGTGAGAAGCATTAAGAATGAAGGTGTTAGGGAAACTGAGTACAGAAAATTTCAGTCTTAGGTGGACTGTAGTTAATGAGTTGTTACCTTATAGAGACAATAATATTTTATTTGTTACTATATTATTTGGTGTTTGCCGTTCTTTAAACACTTAAACCAAGCTTTGGACTACTAATCATGCTAATTTGTGGTCTCCGATCACTTTTGAGCTTCAGAGCTTTCAGTGGTGATAGCCTTCGGTTAGTGAGAATTACCTTTCTTAGGAAAAGGTAGAAAATAAGTATCTGGAAGGTTTGAATAATTGTGTGCTGACAAAAATACTTGAAATCTCCATATTTATTTCTTCAATTCCTAAGAGTTAAAGTTCAAATGCTTCAACAAGGGTCTTTTAATAGCAAAAGCATACAGTTCTCTGTGGAATCTCAAATATTGTTGTAATAGTCTGTTTCAATCTTACATTAAAATGACAGAATAAATTAAAAAAGAAAAACTCCCCTACCCCAAACACCACACAAAAAGTAAAAGAACATGGGTGCAGTGGCTTTCTCCTATAATCCTAGCATAGAAAACCTAGACTGGAAGACCGGGTAAGGGCAGGAGTTCAAGACCAACCTGGCAAGGTAACGAGACCTCATTGCTACAAAAAAACAAAAAATGTAAAAGTATATGTACTCCTAACTATATGAGGTTACAGGACAAAAGAAATGTATGAGCCATAGCGCCTAGTTTTTTCCTTACTGGGGCGTTATTTATGTGACTGGGATGGAGAGAAAATAGTTATTGTCTGCCATCTAGTGTACTAAGTTGGAATTGTGTCTTGCCACTCTGATCAAGGAACTAAAATTATGGAAAATAGTGTACTGATTCAAATAAGGATTGATGGGGATTCTACAAAATGATTCTATTTATGAGCTTTATAGCTCCACAGGCAAAACAAAAACAAAAACAAAAACAAACCCAAACAACCAAGAAGGCACCATGCTGAACATTTATTGCAGAACTGGAGAGGCAGGAGTTGATGCTAAATTAAGACAGGAAGAGCAAGAAAACCACACTTACAGAACCACATAATGAATAGCTGTGTGAAGTGAGGAAATGTGAGTCAGTTGTATTCAGAATACTTTGTGGAAGAAGGACTTGAAATGACCCCTAATAAAGCAAAGCAAACAAAAAAGTGTCGGTACATGCTGACTTCCAAACAGAGCCGAAGTTATTGGCTGTCACCTGGGCTCAAAAACTTGAACAAACTTTAACACATCTGTCTAGTCTTTTCAGTTTTTTCCTTTATAATGTTTACATGATCTCTTCATTTTTTTTTTCTGTTACCACCATGAAGAGTGGGAAATAGATACTTTTCCATATCACTTTACATCCTCTTAGCTCCGATCAGACTATATACTATTCT